GAGTTTGTATTTTGGGGGCGAGTGCGACCAAACGTACCAAAAGTCAACTTTTGTAGGGAGATTTGCGAAAATTACGTGTTGTGCAATAAACGCAAAATGCAGGGTAGAAAACCATTGCATGCGACAGGTGGGCGCATGATATTACAGAAAACCACAAAAGAAATGTCACGTTTAAGTTCAGCAGAACGAGAGAGGGCTATAGGCATGCTACAGTTTGGGGCTACAATTGGTCAGGTTGCTGCAACGTTTGGTTGCTCCGTAGTTACTGTCAGGAACCCTCGCCAACGCTTTAATCAGACTGGTCAGACATCGGACAGGCCACGGACAGTCAGACCCCGGGTAACAACAGTAGCGGAGGACCGACATCTGAGAACGTTGCATTTGCGGAACCGCTTCCTGATGGTGGCGGCATCTTCGGCTATGGCACTCGGTCACCCCGTGAGTCGATGAACAGTAACAAGAAGACTTCGTGCCCATGGTATCAGATGTTATCGACCACACTGGGATACGCTGCGAACGGATAGACAACGCCAGTTGAGACTACGCTGGGCCAGACAGGTCAGACGTTGGCAGCTACGTGACTGGCGTAGGGTACTGTTTTCTGACGAAAGCAGATTCTGTCTATCGAGGCCCGACTGCGGAGTGAGAGTATACAGGAGGAGAGGTGAAAGAACAGCTCGTTGTTGTGTACAGGAGTCGGAGCCGTATGGTGGCGATAGCGTCATGGTCTGGGGTGCCATATGCGGTGACCAGAGGACTGACCTTGTTGTCGTCAACGGTAATTTAACTGCACAACGGTATATCGATGAGGTGCTGAGGCTTGCCATTCATACAGCAACAGCCACAGGGAGTCGTATTCCAACACGACAACGCTCTCCCACACGTTGCTAGGACTGTACAGAACTTTCTGAACGCCAACAACGTCAACGTTTTGCCATGGCCAGCTCGCTCCCTGACTTGTCACCTATCGAACATTTATGGGATCAACTCGATAGACAGATTCGGGGAAGACAGAATCCGCCAATTACAAGACAGGAGCTGGCACAGGCCCTCGTCGAAGAATGGAGGCGTATCCCTGCTGACGTCATCAGACGCTTGACCACTTCAGTCTTGAGACGTGTTAATTCATGCATCCAGGCCAGGGGTGGACAAACTCGTTATTAGAGGATTCTCATTATTTCTGTTTCCTGTGTTGCAATCGTCAGGGAAATCTCTTATTTTCACCCCATGTGTACAATTTCATGTGCATCGGTTGAATAGTTTGTTTTGATTTCGAAATTCTGTGTTAACACGTGTGTAAATGATTTGTTAAAAGAGTAAACCGTTTACTTTTCACTTCGTTGTTGTTGCATTTGAATATAATCAATTTCAAAGAAGAGAAAGGTTCTGTTGCACGTCAGTATTTCAATGGTTCTGTCAATTATTTTTATATTGATTGGTTGATTGTTGTTAAACGTCGCTCTCAGCAATATTCCAGCTATATGACGGCGGTCTGTAAATAATCGAATCTGGACCAGACAATCGACAGCATGAGCATCGTACTACTCAATTAGGATACGATGGCATGTGTCAACCAGGTCAGCGAGCCTGAGGGTCTGTGTCTCCTCAGGCTACTGATCCTCGCTCGCGACAACACTGCAGTCGGAGTCACAGGTTTGACAGATGATAATATTTATGACGTCACTATTGCTGGGGATTTCTTCAGCAATTGAACACTATGAGGAGTGTAAAACCCGTGGATCGAATGCCCGAGACCATGAGGGTTTATTTTCTGACTTAAAAACCGAAGCAAAGATCTTAAACAAACATTGTCAACTACTTCATGTTTCCAACAATCTCCGTAAACCGTCGGAAACGGACGAAATATATATCTTGCTACCGTTCAAGCTCTGGACAATGAGAGGCGATTGTTGTTGAACATTGCACTTGCATAGTGCATGCATAGTGCATGGGCTTATGTAGCCAATATATTTTCCGATGAAAGTGCATGTTAATTGTTGGAACCACTGATAATTGTAAGCAGTATTGCATATGGATTCAGGAAAAATTGTACACCTCGAAAAACGTGTCTAATGAACACGTTAGTTTCTCAGTAACTTAGTGACAAATGATTAATGTGAAAACATCCACACATCTCAAGGCAGACTATTTTATTGGAACAACATTTACAGTATGCAGATATGCGGGTGTACATGAAAGGCTCCGAGTAAATACAACTTTCCAGTTAAATTCAGAGGGTAACATAAGACGAAAAGGTACATATCGTGTCCCTAAGCAGTTAATGTACATGAGTTACATTGATACCACTGCATTCGGTATTACTTGCTTTAATTCAACTTGGGACACTACTTTTTGAGCAGACTTGGGCCTCAAAACTTTGTGTGCACAATGGATCGGCCTGTCTCAAAGTATTCCTGCCTGCTAATGCTCATATCTTTGAAGTTGGACTTGGAGGCGAGCATGGCGCCCCCTAGCCAGGTGGAGTATTCCCTCTCTGGAGGAGCTATGATATTTATAGTTGTCGCTGATGGAGCAAGGGCTGTCAGTTCCTTCTTCATCCTGTCAGCCATACCAGGGAACATGGTGCTGCCACCCGAGAGAACGACGTTGGCATATAAATCTTCTGCGCGGATGCCAGCGTCACACTTCATGATTGAATTGTATGTTGCCGTATGGATGCCCGGCTGGACACTACCAATAAATGATGGCTTGAAGTGAACCTCTGGACAACGGATCCTCTCTTTATCCACCGTGATTAATTCCCCCGTCCGGAAGTTAAGTAGTCCCCTTCAAAGTGGTGGAAGATGCCAGTTCCTGCTCATAGTTGAGGGCCACGTACAACTGGCTTTTCTTGATTTCTTCCATGATCATTCGCCGAAGGATTGACCCGTTCTTTTAAGTAACTTCATCAAGAAGTCACTGACATCAATACCAGCGATATCAAGCCCTGCTGGCGCCAGCAGACAACAACTCTACCATCAACGATAGGGACAGTATCGGTCACACCGGCCCTGAGTCGACCACTAAGCCTGTAGTACGACCAGAAGCGTGCAACGACAGAGCAGCTTGAGTTGGCCAAATACATTGATGGGACGTTGAAGGTTTCAAACATAATCTGGGCCATAGTTTCTCGGTTAACCCGGGGCTCAGGGAAGCCTCTGTCAAGAGCACGGGATGTTCTTCGGGAGCAACGTGGAGCTCGTTATCGAAAGTGTGACGCCATATCACCTCCATGTCTTCCCAGTTTGTAGCTATGCCGTGACTGACAGGGTAGTTTAGTGTGAGAATTCCTTGACGGCTAATAGCATCTTTACCAACAAAGGTCTCTTGCTGCATACCGCTACGAAATCCCTGAAAAAAACATATTTTAATGGACTCTGCGTAATTATCACATGTGTAATTAAAGGGGAGGTGTACACGAAACCGTCACATTAATTCTTATACGAAACAAAATAGATTTTTTTAATTAGTTAGTATCATTGTTTGACAATATGCATTCATTTTTATTACAATAAAAAGTATAACCCTCATTAAGAGCGCTGAAATGTTATGCCATTATGTGGCCTTTGTTTGCTGAGCTAAATAGGCCAGAGTTACTGCCCTTCGATTATGACGTAATTTGTGCTACTTGATTTTAGACTGGTCTCCTGTCTAGTCCCAAATCAAAAGATAACAATACTAAAATTAATCACGTGAAAAAACTTTGTGAAAATACGAAAGAAGCGTAAGAATTGAAAATGTAAGCAGAAGGACAGATAGATCGTGTGTATTTTATTCATAACCTCATTGTGACCAAGGGAAATGAGGAGAAGTACTATCGTCGGTGTGCGTGAGTTCGCGTCAGTCATGGCGTCACACTTTCAGAACCTATAATGTTGTGATGCATCTAAGAAATCATGGGAATACACCTATGCCATTTAACTATCGCTTGATACGATGCCTTTCCCATGCATGTTCTATAACTAATGAGCAAGTTTATGCAACATCTAGGCCATCGGATACACAGTATACAATCTGATAAATTTCGTTAGACGTCATACAATTTGGTTACGTGGTAGCACTTTTTGTGCAAAGTATACGTCATCACAGTGTAGAACTGACCACATAGCCAGCAGTCGGCCAGGCAACAGGTGGATTAATACAGTAGCCTGCGCATCGAACCACAAGAACCACACCTATACCTGCACCACGTGAAATGGGTCTAATAGGGTCTAACGTCATTCGTTTATCAGTCTGCAACAATGACGTCATTTCCAAGGGACATAAGCCATGGTGTGTTTATTGTGGACATGGAACTCTCGGTTAATGTGGAAAATATTAATCGATATAACGCAAAAAGTAAATCAGTTTCTTCTGATATATGTATGGGTTTGGCTAAGAGACTGCTTGACAACTTTTTTTCATGATGAAAAAGTGCAAGACAAAAAAGTGTATTTTCGTGTAAACTTGCCCTTTAAGTTTGAAAAAGTGACAAAACCCCATTTCCATAACCATAGTTCATTGTACAATTCTAGTTCTTCCATAATCACGTGTTTATGACTGACCTTGAAATAGTGATAAAGTTGATTGTATCATACCCCAAACACATGTTAGTCAAATGTTGAAACGTCTTGGCCAAATTCTATAGTTCTAATTTCTGTGTAAAACGTCTAACTCGAATGCGTAACGAAAACCAGATCAACGAAGAAGGGAGGATAGCTGGTGCCCATTGGGATTCCTTCATCTTTCCTCGATGTCCTTTACCCTAATTTCACGGTGTGAGGTGAGGTGAAATTGGGTTTAACGTCGTGCTGGAGAATATTTCGATCATATGACGACGTGCATGCGTGTGTATGTGTATGTGCGGCTGCTTGTACTAGCCCAGACTGAAGCTGGTTTTATAGTGCTAGCCCACTGAGATACCATGCCGCAGTGAAGCATGAATACCCCACTCAGACACATTATACTGACTCCGAGCCGACCAGTCCATGTTGTACCTATTAATGCCGAGCGCCAGGCAGGGACCAACAAGTACCACATTTTAGACTCTGATAAAGATGTTGAACTATATAGTTTGAATGAAGTATTACAATTAGTTTCAAGAGTTCTGTTCCACATGCGGATCAGGCATGATGACTGTCATAGGACTATAGGAGTTCCGACAGCCATAACGCCATAACTGCTTTCTGGAATAGAGCCCTGAACAATAAGGTCCTAGATTTATACTGTAACGGAAGAAAGGTACATCAAGGTGTAGTGGTCTCAGTAGCATAGTGGCAGTATTTGGTTGCTGTCATCGATATTGTAACCGGCCCGTGTCCGTGACGTGGCCAACGATGTTGCTTTCAGTGGACGGCGTGTGGAATGGCTGGGAGACATGGGGTGACTGCTCCAACATCTGTGGGGGCGGGATGCGATCTCGGACACGCACCTGTCAAGGCCCCTTCTTTCAGGGGGCTCCTTGCCTTGGGGAAGTGAGTCACACAGAGGAATGCAACACATTTGAGTGCCCAGGTATGTCCCCTGGAGTTGCTTCCTAACCCAGGCTTTCAATAGGACGTGCCGGAAGTATGGTACTGAATCATATGGCAACCATATAGTAATGCTGTGCTAATTAAGTAGTCATTAGGGAGAGTTAAAAGCATAAATACATCTGTAAATTTCAATGATGTATCCTGTGAATATAACTATAAATATATATCTTTTTTATGTTATCGAAAGTATAAAATATAATTCAGATATTTATTATTATCATAGGTATCAACATATTCTGTAATCTACCTGGAATCGTTATGTCTAAGATCTATGCTATTTACTGACTTGTTACTAACCTGTGTTTAGATAAAGTAGATATGCATGTCAGAATAGTTTAGCATAGCCATGTGCCATGTTTGAAGCAAGCCTCGGGTAGACTAGCGCACTCTGTAGTTGCTGGTAGTTCTAGTATACTACTATACTAACGCGCCTCCATGCCTTTAGCAAAGCTGCTTTTCCGTCTCCTAGGACAGTGTTTCCGCTTACACATAGTTCTGAGATAACACACTTGCAACATAGTGTTGTCTACTAACGCTGCTGCGCGTGCAGGAGGTCCTGGTTTTGCAAGATTCCAAACCTGCTTCGTGCTGCCGCGGGCTAATATTACCAGGCTGTAATATAAGTCCGTGATTCTGCCTTAACTCTAACTAGGAGATACGACATTGCTCTTGTCGGTGATGATCTAGCTGTAGCGGCATTGTTGCCTAATTCCACCTGCCATAGAATAGTTTCATCAGTCACAGCAGCGCTAGTGAAACTAGTGGCTGTTCTATAATCTCCGCGTCCCCCTCATACAGTGGATGGTTCTTGGCTGCCGTGGCATGATTGGCGGGATTGCAGTGTCACGTGTGGTGGAGGTCAACAGATCAGAAAACGGGACTGTCTCAAACCTAAATTTGGCGGCAGTAACTGTGAAGGAGAGAGTCAGCAGACAAGACAATGTAGCACACAGGAATGTCCAGGTGAGATACCGCCATTGATCACATGGCCACGTGACGTGACATTCAGGGGAAGACAACTCTTTACATACTTGCCTTGAACATGTCAACTATGAGCAGTTGGGCTGGCAGGTGTGTTTTTACAAGAGAGATGTTGGGTAACCCGCACGGTCACATTCCCCCAGCTTCAATGCAATGCTATTGTCAAGCATGTTTAATGTGTTCTCATGTAAATGCACATATGTTGCAGTACAGAATATGATGTATTATATTGTGCATATTTCAGAATGAATGTTGGATTTCGAAATTATCAACTATCTTGTAATGCTTTTCCATAACTGATCTATCGGCGGCATGTTCAAAGTAAGAAATATAATTTCATTAAAGTTATTTCATATATGCCCGTCACGGGTTGTCATGTTGTAAATTTACGTTCCCGTTTTCATGAACTTGCCGTTATAGAACATCCAAAGCAACCAACTAACTCATCTTGGAACGGAAGATACGGTTTCAACACGGTATGCAGTGGTTATTTATTAAACGGTGTTATTCTTTTCCACAGCGAACAGAACGGAAAACATGCCATCAATTTCTCATACACAGGATTCATTGCTTCCTACTTTTGTTTTTTGTTTTGTTTTGAAGAACAATTTTTCAGAAACATCTTCCGGAAGTTGTTGTAAATGTTTCGCGTTTTGTTTAATATATGGATTTGTTTATTATTTCAGGAAACAATACGAAGCTTGTTCTTGGTGAGTGCTCTACTCCAGCGCGTGTAATAATCAAAGGATGATATTGGCAATCAGTCTCCGCTCGCGAACGCAAAAAATGCTCAGTGCGCATTACTGCTGTAATGATGCTTCAAGTAATGTTGGTTGCAGCTTCATTTTCATCTCTGTCAAGATAATATCAGCTGTATCACCCTGTTTGTTATTACAGTTGATGGCGAAGAAATAATGATGGTGCTGGGTAGGTGGTCGCCACACAACACTGTACGCCAAACCAGTCGACGAGCACCTGTTCACAATATCAGAATTTAAAAAAAAAAAAATATATTTGAAACTATATATTCATAAAAGTACAAGTTTCTTGTCTAACGTTTTCTTAATTGCCATATGACATAAATGTCAGTGTGAAAGAAAAGTTGAATAAGTTCATCATGATAATATAATCCACAAAAAAATTAATTGTATTAGAAACTAAGCATTAATAAACAAATGAAAGATGTAGATGTGGAAATAAGTTTCTCAAACATTTCCAAATTTTGCCATTTCAATCTCTTCGTATCAAATCTAAAATGTTTAGCCTTTGTGTTGTCTACAACATGGAAATAATTGGCTTCCTAGTGTATGAATTTCATTTAGAAACAAGATAGTTTGCCTCAACTATACAAAACCAAAATCAATTGAAGTAGTGACCAACAAGATATTTTCTCAATAACACAGATTTGAATAGTAATCATTGAACCATCTTAGGATTCCCCAAACGACATGGGATTTTTTTCCTCTTGTTACACGTGCATTTCATAGACCAGCATTGGATGTTGAAACCGTGTCACGCTGAAGAATATAGAGGTCAATTAAAGACCAATGGTCAGTGGTCTGTGTTGCCTCTCACTATGCCCGTGAAACGTGAAGGTAAAATCTTTCTAAAGATGGCGGATATGCGCCCAGACTGAGTGAGTGTGTGGCTTAATGTCGCTGTAAACATTCTTTTAGTAAAATTAGTTGAAAGTCTAGACATATGGCATATGACTAACACTTGAGCACGTTGTGGTGATAACAAACCAAGAATTTTAATCAGAACTGGGATTCGAACTCAATTTCACATTATAATTGGCAACTCTATACACTGAATGACTTCAACAAATCCTGCTGGCGTAGTATTTCGTTTGTGTTTAGAAAGGTTGTTAGCTGACAAAGTAGGGTCACGATGTATAGACAGACTGACCTATTTGACAGTAAGATAGAACAGTAAATTTGACAGGTTGTTATCTGTCAGAGCAGGGTCACGATATATTGACCCACTGACCTATTTGACCGTAAGGTAGATCAGTAAATTTGCTCCATAGACCCACTGACCTATTTGACAGTAAGATAGATCAGTAAAGTTGATGCATAGACCCACTGACCTATTTGACAGTACAATAGATTAGTACATTTGATCTATAGACCCACTGACCTATTTGACAGTAAGATAGATCAGTACATTTGATGTATAGACCCACTGATCTATTTGACAGTAAGATAATTCAGTAAATGTGATGCATAGACCCACTGACATATTTGACAGTAGGATACATCAGTACATTTGATGTATAGACCCACTGACCTATTTGACAGTAAGATAGATCAGTACATTTGATGTATAGACCCACTAACCTATTTGACAGTACGATAGATCAGTAAATTTGATGCATAGACCCACTGACCTATTTTGACAGTAAGATAGATTAGTTAATTTCATGTATAGACCCACTGACCTATTTGACAGTAAGATAGATCAGTAAATTTGATGGATAGACCCACTGACCTATTTGACAGTAAGATAGATCAGTAAAGTTGATGCATAGACCCACTGACCTATTTGACTTTAAGATAGATCAGTAAATTTGATGCATAGACCCACTGACTTATTTGACAGTAAGATAGATCAGTAAATTTGATGTATAGACCCACTGACCTATTTGACAGTAAGATAGATCAGTACATTTGATGTATAGCCCAAAGACCTATTTGACAGTAAGGTAGATCAGTAAATTTGCTCCATAGACCCACTGACCTATTTGACAGTAAGATAGATCAGTACATTTGATGCATAGACCCACTGACCTATTTGACAGTAAGATAATTCAGTAAATGTGATGCATAGACCCACTGACATATTTGACAGGATACATCAGTACATTTGATGTATAGACCCATTGACCTATTTGACAGTAAGATAGATCAGTACATTTGATGTATAGACCCACTAACCTATTTGACAGCAAGATAGATCAGTAAATTTGATGTATAGACCCACTGACCTATTTGAAAGTAAGATAGATCAGTAAATTTAATGCATAGACCCACTGACCTATTTGACAGTAAGATAGATTAGTTAATTTCATGTATAGACCCACTGACCTATTTGACTTTAAGATAGATCAGTAAATTTGATGGATAGACCCACTGAACTATTTGACAGTAAGATAGATCAGTAAAGTTGATGCATAGACCCACTGACCTATTTGACTTTAAGAAAGATCAGTAAATTTGATGCATAGACCCACTAACCTATTTGACAGTAAGATAGATCAGTAAATTTGATGTATAGACCCACTGACCTATTTGACAGTAAGATAGATCAGTACATTTGATGTATAGACCCACTGACCTATTTGACAGTAAGATAGATCAGTACATTTGATGTATAGCCCAAAGACCTATTTGACAGTAAGGTAGATCAGTAAATTTGCTCCATAGACCCACTGACCTATTTGACAGTAAGATAGATCAGTACATTTGATGCATAGACCCACTGACCTATTTGACAGTAAGATAATTCAGTAAATGTGATGCATAGACCCACTGACATATTTGACAGGATACATCAGTACATTTGATGTATAGACCCACTGACCTATTTGACAGTAAGATAGATCAGTACATTTGATGTATAGACCCACTAACCTATTTGACAGTAAGATAGATCAGTAAATTTGATGTATAGACCCACTGACCTATTTGAAAGAAAGATAGATCAGTAAATTTAATGCATAGACCCACTGACCTATTTGACAGTAAGATAGATTAGTTAATTTCATGTATAGACCCACTGACCTATTTGACTTTAAGATAGATCAGTAAATTTGATGGATAGACCCACTGACCTATTTGACAGTAAGATAGATCAGTAAAGTTGATGCATAGACCCACTGACCTATTTGACTTTAAGATAGATCAGTAAATTTGATGCATAGACCCACTGACCTATTTGACAGTAAGATAGATAAGTAAATTTGATGTATAGACCCACTGACCTATTTGACAGTAAGACAGATCAGTAAATTTGATGTATAGACCCACTGATCTATTTGAAAGTAAGATAGATTAGTAAATTTGATGCATAGACCCACTGACCTATTTGACAGTAAGATAGCTCAATACATTTGATGTATAGACCCACTGACCTATTTGACAGTAAGATAGATCAGTAAATTTGATGTATAGACCCAATGACCTATTTGACAGTAAGATAGATCAGTAAATGTCATGTATAGACCCAATGACCTTTGACAGTAAGATAGATCAGTACATTTGATGTATAGACCCACTGACCTTTTTGACAGCAAAATAGATGAGGAAATTTGATGTATAGACCCACTGACGTATTTGACAGTAAAGTAAGATAGATCAGTAAATTTGATGCACAGACCAACTGACGTATTTGACAGTAAGATAGATTAGTTAATTTCAAGTATAGACCCACTGACCTATTTGACAGTAAGATAGATCAGTAAAGTTGATGCCTAGACCCACTGACCTATTTGACAGTCAGATAGATCAGTAAATTTGATGCATAGACCCACTGACGTATTTGACAGTAAGATAGATCAGTAAATTTGATGTATAGACCCACTGACCTATTTCACAGTAAGATAGATCAGTAAATTTGATGTATAGACCAACTGACCTATTTGAAAGTAAGATAGATCAGTAAATGTGATGCATAGACCCACTGACCTATTTCACAGTAAGGTAGATCAATACATTTGATGTATAGACCCACTGACCTATTTGAAAGTAAGATAGATCAGTAAATTCGATGCATAGACCCACTGACCTATTTGACAGTACGATAGATCAGTACATTTGATTATAGACCAACTGACCTAGTTGACAGTAAGATAGATCAGTACATTTGATGTATAGACCCACTGACCTATTCGACAGTAAGACAGATCTGTAGATTTCATGTATAGACCCACTGACCTATTTGACAGTAAGATAGATCAGTAAATGTCATGTATACACCCACTGACCTAGTTGACAGTAAGATAGATTAGTAAATGTCATGCATAGACCCACTGACCTATTTGACAGTAAGATAGATTAGTAAATTTGATGGATAGACCCACTGACCTATTCGACAGTAAGATAGATCTCATGTATAGACCCACTGACCTTTTTGACGGTAAGATACATCAGTAAATGTCATGTATAGACCCACTGACCTATCTGACAGTAAGATAGATCAGTAAATGTCATGCATAGACCCACTGACCTATTTGACAGTAAGATAGATCAGTGAATTTGATGCATAGACCCACTGACCTGTTTGACAGTAAGATAGATCAGTAAATTTGATGCATAGACCCACTTACCTATTTGACAGTAAGGTAGATCAGTAAATTTGATGGATAGACCCACTGACCTATTTGACAGTAAGATAGATCAGTAGATTTGGTGTATAGACCCACTGACCTATTTGACAGTAAGATAGATCAGTAAATGTCATGTATAGACCCACTGACCTATTTGACAGTAAGATAGATCAGTAGATTTCATGTATAGACCCACTGACCTATTTGACAGTAAGATAGATCAGTAAATGTCATGTTTAGACCCACTGACCTATTTGACAGTAAGATAGATCAGTAAGTGTGATGTATAGACCCACTGACCTATTTGACAGTAAGATAGATCAGTAAATGTCATGCATAGACCCACTGACCTATTTGACAGTAAGATAGATCAGTGAATTTGATGCATAGACCCACTGACCTGTTTGACAGTAAGATAGATCAGTAAATGTCATGTTTAGACCCACTGACCTATTTGACAGTAAGATAGATCAGTAAGTGTGATGTATAGACCCACTGACCTATTTGACAGTAAGATAGATCAGTAAATGTCATGTTTAGACCCACTGACCTAGTTGACAGTAAGATAGATCAGTAAGTTTGATGTATAGACCCTTGGACCTATTTGACAGTAAGATAGATCAGTACATTTGATGTATAGACTCACTGACCTATTTGACAGTAAGATAGATCAGTAAGTTTGATGTATAGACCCACCGACCTATTTGACAGTAAGATAGATCAGTAAATGTGATCCAATGTGAGCTGCATATACACGTGAACAATGCTTATTTCAGAGCTACCGGCATTTTACCTTCACTCTATGTCACAGGTTGCTTTATGTATGAGCAAAGTAAACCTGTGACACCTAACCGATTCATTGAGGCTATATGACCAGATTTAATCTGAAAATAAATGATCATGTTGAAACTTTATAGTAGAAAATATAAATATCATGTACACAAGGTACATATATGTAAACATATTGTAAAGATATTGTTGTAGAGCAATGAAGATTCAAGATATGACTACTGAACGTTTGTGTTGAAGTACTTACTGCTTATTAACTTTAACATAAACACTGAGCATCAAAAGACCTTGGTATGAAGTCTAGATTGCCCATTGCTGTTAAAGTAAATCAATTTTCGCAGTATTGTCTGAAGGTTAAAGTAAAATAGACAAAGTAAAAGGTATTTACAGTAGTGCGTTGCGCACAAGGCGGTTCGCTCTTTGAGGTGGCTATATTTATTTTCCTTTCAGTTGATGGTGAATGGCAGGAGTTGGGTGAGTTACCTCCCCTCTCCCTGAGGGTAAAGGACCTTTTCCACTGCGTCCCACGCACTGCGCATCCTAGCAAAGTTTGTTTCAGATTTGAGGGTGTGAATTTCATACACATGCATCTAGTCAATCAGTCGCTGATCACATCAAGGTTCACTACTCAAATATCCCAACACCTTACCCGGAAGGACATTTTCATCTTATCTAATGCAAGGTACTTGTCAAGGCAAATGTGTTGCCTTTTTACTTTATTTTGGGTAGTTTTATCCCACTTCGATAGTATACTTTTGTTTCCACAAACCTCTTGTGAAAATAAACGCATAAGCAAAACAAGGCCATCTTTATGTACAATCAAGTCAGCGCCTTCGCGTAGCGATCATCATCATCGTGATGAGTCATCTGTTTTGCTTTCTTTCAGTATTCTGCATTTGTGCAGGGAGAATGCATGTATTTTAACTCTATTCCTCTTGTCGTGGTGTTCTACCAAGCTTGATATGTCTTACTTTACATGTTGTGGTCAGAGGCTGATACTTCTGCAGATTCACAAGTTTTTGTTTTACAGGCAAACTAAAGACCAAGGTGCGTGGTCTGAGTTGCCGAACTCAGTGCAGTGCTGTAGTTTCCCGCGCTGTGAGGTCAAGGTCACCAATGCATACATATTTGTACATGTTTATTACGTTTACCTTGGAACAGTGACAGCGGAGTTCATGGTTTGTCCAAAGGTACACGATGATTAATAAGCATAATTCCGGACAGTGTGAAAACACAAAAACAGTACAGTTAAAGGTTTAATTAAACTTAAAGGATGTTTTCGGAGCATACATGTAATGTGAAAACAAATGACAAAACATCTAAAACAATATGCATAATGTACATGAATCCATTATTCTGGTAAATGCCCTGTGTGCATGGTGACCTGACTTCTCTGTCCCTCACCCAGAACCTCTTGCTCACCTCTCCAGTGTCTTTTTCCCCACAGTGGATGGCGTGTGGCGAGAATGGAACGAGTGGTCCGCATGTTCACGCAGGTGTGATACTGGCACGCAGACACGCAATCGCACGTGTGACGGGCCGTATTTCGGCGGAAGCGACTGTGTTGGGCCGACATCGGACTTGCGAAACTGTAACACCCATACCTGTGCAGGTCAGTGTTCAACATCCACTCCCTCTGTCGGTCTCCAATTTCTTCTTCCTCCTCATCCTTCCTCATGCTTCATTCGTAGATGCTTACTGTCACCCGTGTTTGTAGTGTTTGCATAGTCGTTTCCTTCATGTGCACATCTCACGGCAAGGGCAAGGATTTCTTCTGACTGCCATACATTTCAACCTTTATATGTTCCTGTATACCGTGCTAGTCTCCGTCCCTCCTCTTGTCCGTGACAATCTCTGACTTGATGGTGCATCGTATCATTGAGTTGCTCTCATGTGCTTTCTCGACAAGCTTGGTGAGGGTGCGTAATTATATTGGATTTCAAGGACAATGTAACAGCTTGGGCATACTATTAAGGTAAGCATTATTCTTTTCTGTCTCTCATATTCTTGAGCAATAACTTGCTTTCGCCCTATCAATCTTTTCTGAAAGAATACCTCTGATCTTCAAACCTTCTTACTTCCTATTCATTGATCTGCCTCTAACTCTGTGATCTCTGATAACACCTATTTGCAAACAAATGTATGTGGTGCATTAATCGAAAACTATTTTGAGGGAGAACATTTTCAAACTGTGTTTGGGCAGTAATAAGCGAAATTGGCCTAACATATGAGAAATAGCTAGTAAGTTACCTTAATAAAAGCTTCACCAAACTAATGGTTTTTGTGCTTTCAGTTGATGGAGTGTGGAAACACTGGTCAGACTGGTCAATTTGCCCAGTTATGTGCGGTGGTGGTACTTCTCAAAGATCAAGGTCATGCGATGGCCCTTATTTTGGTGGTATAAACTGCAGTGGACTTTGGAGTGAAGGGCAACCGTGTGGAACAGAACCTTGCCCTAGTATGTGCACTCGTCTCACTCTTAAGTTGTATCATTCAGCGATATTGCATGTTCTGTCAGTTGAGGGGAGTTTCGTTCGTACCATACATACCAGGAACTATATATTTTCATACTTGGTTTCACTTTTCTTGGGGGTTGCTAACAAAACTTGCCTTTGTTGGAATGGCTGTCAATCATGGACTCTGCAAGCCTTTTTTCCTTTATTTGTAATGGGAACAGAAGGTTTCAGAATATGCTGAAGGAAAGCTGCAATTTTCATAACTCATCTTTCAGTTGTTTGGGTTTGGGAATCCTGGTCTAAATGGTCATCTTGCCCAGTCACATGTGGCGGAAGTATGTCACGGAGATCAAGGTCATGTGATGGTCCTCGGTTTGGCGGGAAAAACTGCAGTGCTCCCTGGCTTGAAGAGAAAACATGTGGAACTGTTCCATGCCCGAGTATGTCTCATCATAGTTCTTCTTTGAAAGCAATTCCATGTTCATCTTTTGTCTTAATAGATCAGGATGTGCTGTGGTTTCTGGATTTAATTAGATGTGTCAGTATGGTCAGCTTTGCAACTCGTTTTATTGCTTAGTTGTCCTGGTCCAGTTTGTCCTGTGACTTGTGGATGAGTCACTTCTGAAAGAGCTAGAACATGTGAGGAGAGGCCGTGTTTAAGGGCATAAACTGCACGTTTCCCAGGAGTGAAGAGTAACCATACGGACGTTGACCCTAGTCCCGTTATGTTGACTGCTCATCTGGTGTGTAGCAGTACCAATGCTGCATGCAAGTGTTAAAAATGCGTGCCGTCACACGTGGGAGATTTTCGAAAAATAAATTCAATTCTTGCCACCTTGATGTTTTCCAGTTTATGTATAATGGGAGCTGTTATTTTAAGGCCTCTTTGTGCAGTTTGCTATAGTTGAGGCCAACCTCTAGGCCATGAGATTGAACCTATTTGGGAAATACACCATGCTGTGACAACTTCAGTGAAAGAAGTGAACTACAGTTGCCTTTGTAAGGGTTGTACTTTCGATAAATATCATGGTCTCACCAAGATACTCGTAACTGCAAGATTGCTCATCATTTATGTCATGTCTAGGAGAATGCAACAATAGTAAATTGTTAAAGGTCACATGCAACGTAAAACACAACTTTGCAGATTCTGATACCTTTCGGTATGGACATACCGAAACAAATCGTCAAAAATGCAAATTCAACTTATAAAGTTGAAAAAAAACGCGATGAAAAAAAACGCGCGAAATCGGAGTTCAAACGTTTCACTAATTTTCCCCAGACTTTTCTGGGGAAAACGGGTTTCAACAGCTGGGCTGCGCTCATAACACGTGCGCAAGTAAACAGGTACGCGCAGCTTGGAAGCGGGTTGTCGGGTGAATACTCGGTGAAGGCTTTGGTGTGAGCTATTTTTCTAATGTTTTGTTGATATCTCACAGGCGTGAGCTTTTTATATGTTATGACAGTAAATTAACTGTTTATATAATTTCATTGGTCTTTTTCACCACACGTTCTTCTTACCGAGACACTTTCTCAGTTCGATACTTAAAAGCAATGTCATTATTTAGCGTTGACAGAATTTCTAACTGTGATATAGATATGTCGTTGTCACAGACAAAACTTTATTGACACCTGTGTGTCTGCCTGCCTGTCTGCTAATGACAATATTCAATACACAGCTGCTATCACTGACCACAAGCGATTTGAACTTACCACCAATCAGGCATTACACCATAAACAAAATGCATTGATTTATGGCCCGAGTTCGGTCTCTGTCACATTATGTAATTACACAGACAGGCAGGCGTGATACTTGAACACATGACATGTTATGATGTCTGTTGATTGCAAAATGTTATACACAAAAAATGAGCATGTATTTACAAAACCCAACATCTCTATATATATACACACACAATTGGCCGTGAAGGCATCTGCAAATGAACCAGCCGTTACACTTGAGTGCACACCCACCCGCTCTGACTGGGTTCGGTATCCCGGCTGCTTCGTTTCTTGGGAAGTAAACCGAAGTACACAATTTTGCACTTTCGATTTGCGATTGTACGCTTATAATTTTGTTTATATAATTTTTCGTAACCAGCAATGCATATTATATGTCATGAATAAGTGATAATTGTGTTTTAATTATGTTTGATTTTTTGGTTGCATGTGACCTTTATTGGATAATTGGAACATGGCAGCCATAATTTCCCTGCTGCATTGTATTTGTTGCAAAGACTGTATTTCAGTTGATTGGGTTTGGGAACCCTGGTCAGAATGGTCAGTTTGCCCCGTCAGTTGTGGTGGAAGTACATCACAAAGGTCAAGGTCTTGTTTGGGGCCACACTTCGATGGTAAAAACTGCAGTGCTCCCTGGACAGAGGCTAAACCATGTGGGACAGACCATTGCCCTAGTATGTTTGCACCTAAAACCCTGTCTTGTTTTCCTCATCCTTTGCATGAATTCTTCCATTTGTATTTCCTCTGACTTAGCCAACGACTATGTCGAAACGTTTAATAATGATTGTAAAAGTCTAGAAGGAATTTCCGAAGTCACGCATAAATATCGGATGGTAACGTGCAAACTGGTGGTTACAATGTGTGCCATAGACACCCTGTTGGGATGAAACGATGATAATGCCTGACTAGTTTGTCTGGCTCAGTCTCAATTTACAAAACTGTGAAACAGACTGCTGTTGACTGACTACAGTATAAACCTACACAAATGAATCATTATTTGTTGGTAAGACGTTGAACCAAATCTTGACAAATATACTATTCACACTTTGCTAAGAATCAAATCATGGATTCAACAGAAAACTATTATGTGGGGGCCAAATTTGGTTTAAATACCTAAGCTTATTGTAAGCATGGATCCTAGGTTTCAGTATGTAATTGCATCTTGTAAATCCCCTACCTGTTATTTACATGTGTTGTTTATTTGTCAATGTCTCGTTCCATGATTTGCAAAATAGTTGATTGTATCAAGTGTATAAGGTTAGCTTAAAGTGACTATTTGCGTAATGAGGGGTTACCATATTATTATTTATCCTGTTTTAAATGGATACAATTTCAAATTATAAATCTACGTTTAAGTAAAGTTGTGATTTTTTGTGATCTTTAGCAAAGTGTGAGTAGTATAATTCAATCGTCATACAGAAAATGTATTTTCCCTTTCTAATATTATATTACATTATCAATCTAAGGTTCTGATATGAAATACTTCCAGTTGATGGCGAATGGACCACGTGGTCAACCTGGGGCTTATGCAAAACAATGAGAAAAGTGCTCATCACTACTAGTCAAGGAGCTTATGGGATTCCGTGAAAGTTTTTTGATGAAAGCAAATCATATATGCTTTTGTGTTTATATGTTGAAGGAGTTTAAAAAAATGTTTGGTTCCAATCTGAATATTGATATGAAAACTATTTTTAGCTCAAAATCCAAGATGGCCGCCAAAATTTAACCGGGAACTGAAAAAGTTGCAAAAACTCGGAACAAAACAATGGTTTTAATATCAAATACCATGCATATTTGGTTACGGAATATATTTCTCATATGCTCTAAGTCACCAGATCTTTTTAGTTTGATTTTAGTCTTAAACTTACATTAAAGAGTCATTTTTAGCTCTAAAAGTTATAATGATGAATAAAAACCCCATTTCTTCACAAGGCTTATATTTTGTATATAACTAGTACAATATGAAAAATGAAATTTTTAGAGTAAAATTAATATTTTAATACTTATCCTGACTCATGTTTATTTGCTTGTCTTCTTCTTCTGGCGAACCTAGTGGAACACTTGTATCTCCCAATTGAAGTTCCCTTCAATAAAAAATCACTCATTAGTACTGACCACGAGTTACCTCCCTTCCACAAGCGCGGGAACGAGGGCGCCACCTGAACCCATGTGCCTCACTCTCTCCTCATATACTGAGCCCAACACCTGAATTTCCAGGGAAATCCAAAGTGTTAAGTGGGGAGGACGGGAGGGCTTACCTCATGAGTCAGGATAAGTATAAAAATATTAATTTTACTCTAAAAATTTCATATTTTTCCTTATCCTGACTCATGTTTATTTGCTTGTAGAATCCTACGGAATAGGAGGTGGGATTATATATACTTTGGATTTTACTAATTAGTGATTTGAACTGAGATAATTGTAATAACCTAAGGGAACTTCATGAAGGCACTGAACTGAATTCCTGCTGTTAACTTATCAGTTGCCATATAAGGGTTATTACAATTTACTGAATATAATAAAAGTATATAGAACATTAATTAAGCTAAAGCTATTAATGTGATAGTATAAACTGTTGATAGTTTATAATGAATACTTTTATAGAACCAAAGTAGTAAGCTTACAATATGCATATATGTAAGTTATAACAGAATTGTGCTTAAGGTATAATGATACTTTAAGCTGTATAATAGTAACCAACTACTGAGAGTTTGTTAACTAAGACATGTTATGAAATGAACATATGACTGAGCTTAAGGATTGAAACTTAAGCTGAATATATATATAATAGTAGAACTCCTAAGAGTTGTAGGCACATATATAGTATGATTATAGAACTGTGCTTAAGATATAATTAACTTAAGCAACCTAAATAGCCAAAACAACTCCGTAGAGTTTGTTAGCTATTACATTTTATAATGCAACTCCGTAGAGTTTGTTAGCTATTACATTTTATAATGTAACCATAATGCTTAAAATATGATGAAACTTAAGCTAAGTATATGATAGTAAAAAACTCTTTAGAGTTTGTTAGCTAATATACTTATATGATATAAACACGGTACTGAGCTTTAAGATATGAATAAACTTAAAGGTCACATGCAACGTAAAACACAACTTTGCAGATTCTGATACCTTTCGGTATGGACATACCGAAACAAAAAGTCAAAAATGCAAATTCAACTTATAAAGTTGAAAAATAACGCGATGAAAAAAACCGCGCGAAATCGGAGTTCAAACGTTTCACTAATTTTCCCCAGAGATTTCTGGGGAAACGGGTTTCAACAGCTGGGCTGCGCCCACAGCACGTGCGCAAGTAAATAGGTTCGCGCAGCTTGGAAGCGGGTTGTCGGGTGAATACTCGGTGAAGGCCTTGGTGTGAGCTATTTTTCTAATGTTTTGTTGATATCTCACAGGCGCGAACTTTTTATATGTTATGACAGTAAATTAACTGTTTATATAATTTCATTTGTCTATTTCACCACACGTTCTTCTTACCGAGACGCTTTCTCAGTTCGATACTTAAAAGCAATGTCATTATTTAGCGTTGACAGAATTTCTAACTGTGATATAGATATGTCGTTGTCACAGACAAAACTCAATGTCTTGTTTTATTGACACCTGTGTGTCTGCCTGCCTGTCTGCTAATGAAAATATTCAATACACAA